TATACAGTGCGTTACATGTTCACATTGCTTTTTATATTTATAATAATAATAATACATGTTTCCTCCACCACTGCTGCTCATACTGAAGAACTGCGACACAGATTTTTGATCCCTGATATTAAATCTTAAATTTCTCACGTGTCCTAAAATAAAACTTTTTAATATAGTTGTACATAATCCCGATGAGCTGATGCCATGATAAGTGCCACCCCACTTCCCCAGCATGCTTTTTAATCATCTAACCCAAATGCAGTAAAAAAAAAACACAACTGATCATATTTCTGCATCAACCGCCTCACCCCGCTCCCTACACGCTCATGATTCACTCATGATTTCCTCAGTCGCCACCCTGATTAAAGGTACAACCAGTCCCGTCATCTCAAAGCGCCAAACCTCCAAACCCCCGAACCTCTGTGAACTGACCACATCAGATGTTTTGCCCCAGATGCTTGGCTGAGCGCCGCGTAGCTGAGCCGCCTGTGGACTCTCTGGGACCTAGTTTAATGTGTGCTTAAGAGACCGTGGGACCGGGCGGAAGCTGCGCTCTCTCCCCCTAAATATCAACCTATCATTTATTCATTCACGCTCCCAGGACGACCGCCACCGCCATCATCTGAGGACCCTGTCGTCTGAAGTTCTCTGCGCCTCTGTCGCTCAAACATACACACGCACATGCACTTTGCAAGCGGTCCCAGAGGTCTTTTAATTTTTTGAGAGGCTATTTTTAGAGAGAAAAATAATCGAGGTGGAAAGTTCCATCTGTCCAACACTCTTGTTCCAGCTGCTCCTTTTTAGCGGCAGGCAGGCGGAGGAGAGGAAAAACACTACTTATCAGATAAAACTGACAGAGACAGGATTTTTTTTTCATCATATGCATGTTCTAGTTATATATTCAGCGTATTGCATGATTTAAAAAATGTGCAAGATCACCTGGGGTTACAAAAGCTGAGAGTCTGATTAAATGACCCGCTGCTCCAACACTTTAATATATTTTTCTCTTTTCAAAGCTCTGGTGATTCTGCTCCTTTTAACTACCTGCAAACTGAGGAGAGGAGTTTAGTGATTAGCATTTTTATATTGGACCTTTTGTTCTTTGTAATACTAGATCATAAAAAATAGATGTTGAAACAAATCTCTTGCTAAAGTTCACTTTTCCACCTAAGTTAATGTTTTTACCTTGGTAGTGTGTGTGGCTGGTCTGTGTGTCATGAAACATATTTAAATATTGAATTTAATGCTTCAACATATGTTCTCTTTTCAATGCTCTTGATATTCTGTTGTCTAAATCAGCCAAGTATTTTAGTATCAGCTTTAATGAGACCACAAAAACATTCTAAATAAAAGTGATGAGCAGTTGTTCTTTCATTGGACCCTCAGTGTTTTGTAATAGACTGCGGTCATGAGTGTTACCGCTCACCCCAGCCGGTCCAGACATACATATTATGTGCAGGGTTTATACATCAGATTTCTCATACCAATTAAATAAACTGTGCTATATTCATATTATATATGATATCAATAGCTATCGTTTACTCTTTGCACCCTCAACTTGTGTTTTCTCGGCTTACTTTGTAAATCTTTATTAACAGGAATAATTTGAACAATTTCATTTGTGGATGACACTTTTCTAAATTTGGTTGTGTTTGCATAATGCCAATAAAGTTTTTCTTCAAGTTTTTACTGTGGTAGCAGGACGTCTGCAAATCACCACAAACCATCATCACCGATACTGTGTGACGTGAATCTTACTGGTAAATAAAAGCAGCCAAATGAGCAGAGGAGACGGTGTGAAGAACAAAGAGAGCAGGCTCACTCTGTAATTTCATACCAGGGACTTTGCACAGAGACTCAAATGTTAACACACAGAGAGCGCAGAAGGGAACTGGTCTAAGTTCAGCTTTGATGCAGACACGAATGCCCTGAATGTCAATGAGCTGGAGAAAACTCCACGTCGTCTTTCTTTTGTGATGCTCCAGCGTTCCTCATCCCTCGCTGGACTCCTCATCTCAGGCAGCGGGATGGAAGCCTGCGGGGGCCAATCTGAACATTCCTCTGTACGCAACTTGTTCTATAGGATGTTATTATGCAAACAACCAAAACAAACAAGTGCAGTTGAAAAGTTCAGAGCCACCACCACCTCCTCCTCTGCTTGAATTTAATTTGCTGAATTGATTAGACCTCCGCATCGGTCCCCACCACACCCCAGAGGGTTGTTGGCGGTGGATCGTTAAATGGGGGGCTTCGTGGACAGAGCAGCTCTGAGTTGGTATCACCGGGGGGGGTGGGTTTCGTTATGACAACACGCTGAACTGATCAGATTATTAGCATCAGAACTTCTGACATTAGTAAACTTTGCTTCAAACATTTCATGCAAGATTTCAAAAAGGCAGTGTAGCTAAAAGGAGCTAATTTCTCACTAAGAAGAAATCGATACTGTCTTTATATTGTTTTTACTGGTCATTTGTGTTTTTTCTCTTTCTTTGTGTCTGTGCATTTTGTGTTGTTAGTTCTATTTCTTATTTGTATGATTTTTACCATCAAACTGCAGGGACTGCATGTGTAAACTAGCCTGAGTGGCCAAATCTGGCACATTTACATGTTGGACTCAAGTATGGACTTTAACTAATGTGCATTGTCCCTTTTAAATGAACACATGCAATGTCTATGTGTAACAGGGGTGGAGGAGAACATGACACGTCCTCTGACGAATGCTAAAAGTACTTGACCATGACTGACACCTGCACATTATGAATTTCACCTCCTCCTCCTTGTAAACTTGGATCCAACGTTCACTTCAAATCCACGGGTACAAGCACACGCTGGATGGCATATACATCCCATTCAAGCCAAAAAGACACTGATATCTGAGTGGAACAAGCCTGACTGTGAACATAATGAACAGATCAGATCAATCCAGTGACAATGTCTGACATGCAAAAAGTGGAGGTCAGTACACACAGCCAAAACAAGCAACCACAATCAATACAGAGTTTGCTGCATCAGAATGTATTTATAGAAACACTGGCAGCTCCCCACCAAGACGCAAGAGGAGGGAAGAGAAACTGTCCAGAGAAGAAACACACGCAGCCTCTCTCTGAACAAGTCCTGCTAATGGAGCCGCTGAGCTCACACATGCTTGTTTGTTCTCCTACTGTAAAGTCATTTGTAGTCATGAACACTCTTCGCTCACTGCAATAACCGAGGCAATAAACTGGGTAGACATTTGATCACTTTGGGTGAGAAGGACGGGATGGCCACAATCTACTGCTTTCATTTGGAGCCATTTTGCAAAGGGCAGACGGACGGAAAATCAAATCATGTTGTTGCACATATGTGTACGTGTGTAAGCCTGAGTAAAGCTGACAAGACACCGTCCGTCCACTCAGCGCAGACGTACACAGCTAAACGAGTGAGCAGCAGAGTGAAACACCTGGGCAATCTGGCTCTAAATTCAATCTCACACAATTGTTCTGTCCAAATTGACATGTCAAGTCCGTGTGTGTGTGTGTAGGTGTGTGTATGTAGGTGTGTGTCTGCATGGTTCAGTGGAAATGCTTTCAGTCTCCTGACAGGAGGTTCTATGTGGAGACTTTGTTTTCAAGCATTTTTATTTGTATGAAATATTATCTGAGAGTTGAAGTATTTCAGACAGAAGCTCATTTATTTTCAAATCACAGCTATTTATCAATCCCACAATATATTTTAACCATCATCATTTATTAGCCTGCATCATAGTTGCTTGAATACATTCACTAATGATTCCCATTCAGTCATTAGCACTGATTAATCTTTTCTGCAAAGTTCCTTAGGTTTTTACTCTCAAACTACTTTCTCTGAAATACAGGAAACCAATATATAACTTATATATTATGGTACACAACCTATAAAACTCACTATACTCACAGACACTCTCAATGCAAACATTTTTATATTGCTAAAACAAAAATAACAATAAGACCATTGAACTAAGTAGAGATTGATACATGATGATTTCCATCAATAGCAAAATAACAGGTTCAATATAAATCTATGCTGCCTATGCAGTGTATAAGTACAGTGAGGAGGTATAAGTCTGAACTGATCTACTTCAGGTTTGGAAAGTTTGAGTTAAAGTTCATGTTTAAAACCACAACCTTTCACTTTAGTCGTTAAACTTGACAGATAATGATAATGTGACATGTATCGTTAATTATCCATATGAACATTTTTATCTTGATATAATTTAATGCCACATCCTCCAGCTCTTTACATAAAGACAATGAACTTTGCCATTTAGTGTAACACACCCATACACGTGCACACGAAGCATGATTCCACATAGAATAATCATAGGAATACACAGTGGTTTTCTTTTCCTTTGGGCTCGTCCGCTCTCCTGTGCCGCCTGGCCACCGTGCGCCTCGTTAATCGGGCGGATTACGCAGCGTAACCCTGCACCGTCTGCTCCGATTCTATTTCAAAACACACACTCTCCCGCTCCTGTGCCACGTTTTAAAGTGAATCACCGGCGGTTGCATGTTATTTTTCTTAAGATTAGCAGCAATTTGTGTTGTGTTAAACGCGCAAAAGCAAAACTAATATCAGGCACGGCAGAGGGCATTATGGATGAGAAGCGCACAATCAAAAAGTACTTTTTTGGGGGGGGGAATAAAAAAGGAGTCTAAATCTGTGCTTTAGTTTTTTTGTGATGGAAATACCGGGGATTTATAAGCTTGATCCAAACATACAGTATTAAGAAGGGGGGGCACGCGCTCCTGGAGAGGAGAGGTTGAGCTCTCATGGCACAATTTAAATCCACATACATCTGTTTTTGAAATACTGATGCAGATGTATTGTAATGATGATTTGTCCACGTGATTCAGACTGTAAGCCCTCTCCCTCAAACCTCTTATTGTTATTATTATTGTGGTTGTTGTTGTTTCTGGGGTAGTCAGTGTACAAGGTGCATGCTGCGAGTTTGGATGAGGTAGACTGAAGTTTCCAGAGGTGGATGAACTTACCCTCCATGCAGAAGATGACCATCCAGGCTATCCATAGGTCCGAGTTATGAAACTTCACCATGGTTCGTAACTGTTCTGTGACTCGCTCTCAGTTTTGAGCCCAGTCGCTTCTTTTCCTTGTGAAATCACAGCTCCGCTTCACAGTTTACTTAAAGAAAAGTCACCGCTCCTTCTAATGGCGTTAGACATGAAAGCAATCAGCGGGTTTTTACGCACCACATTTTCCAGAAACAGCGAGAAAAGCACAAAGAATAAAAGACGCAGAGCATTTCTATCCACCGCCGGGCACTCGTCTCTCTCCTTCGGGCGCTTTTTGTTTTACTCCTCCTTTGCTCCTGCGTCCTTTGGTCACTCCAAACTGTTTTTTTTCTTCTCTGCACCTCTCCTGTCACTTTACGCACGCTTGGAAGAAAAAAACGCACCGTGCACCTGCTCTTGAAGGAAGATGTTCCCACAGCCGGGGAAAGTGACTTTAGGCACGGAGCAGGAGCTGGCACTTCTCCCGTGCGTTCAGCGAGTGTCTCCAACACGTCTTGTTGCGCTCCATGGTTTCTCGTCTGCTCTGCCGCTGCAGCTGAGCAAAGTCACACAGCAGAGTGGACAACACGACTTCCGACTGAAGTCTTTCAGAATAAAAAACAGAGTGGAGGTGATGCGTCAATGGGACCGAGCGGATTACAGTTTGGACAACAGCGTTGTCACGAGGTGGCAAAGGGTCAAAGGTCAGCGAACCACTTCCTTTTAATGTGTCACACCTGTGCCCTTCCCCGCACTTTCGTGCATTCAAAAAGAAAATATAAAAGAAAAAGGAAATGTGACAAATAATTTTGGAGTTGTCTTTTTAAGGAAGAAATAATCATCTCAATGGAAAAAGACTTGAATTCAATATATTATGTCCACCTAAAATAAACTTCAATGTGAATGTCCTCTATGAAATTAAATATATTAAGTGAAGTGTAGTCTTCAAATGGCCGCCTTGGCACAATCTGAGCAAATTGCTATTTGTCATGATAAAACTTATATTTTCATATAGATTTCACTAGTTCTTATCCCATCTGCATAAAACTGTTCATCTGATAAAAAACATTTGTGAGGTTGTTCTCCCTGAACAAGCTTGAAACTATTCTCCCCGTTTTTTTCTTCTTTTTTAAGCCAAAAAAATTATTTGTAGATTTGTAACCTTTAATATTGATGTTTAAGATACATACTGTAAATACTGTAGTCTGTCAATGTAATCAGATCAGATCAGTAGAAAGTTACAGAAGAAAAGAGGATTTTATGGTTAGGCTTATTTCATGAATGACAAACTAGACCTTCACACTGAATAGTTCATGTGGGATGTTGTAACATCTGAAAATGTCTTGTGGATGTTTCACAGGTAACCCCATCACACTCAAATGCTCATATTTGTTGCACACGATAGAGAAGTGATTCCAACGGCACATAATTGCACTTTACTTGACATGTATGATCTGCTCCCATGAAAAAGGGTTGTTCTTATACTTATTGTTGGAGGACAGCTCATTGATAAAGCTACAGGTGAACAGTCTGAGCAGGTGAGCGGAAATTCCAGGATCTCTCCTGAATTTAATATGCTTTTATTTCTTAGATGACTTCCTGTTTTGGTCTGAGCGCGTGAACGCGGCTTGATGACAGCGCTCAGCGGCGGATGACAGAGTTGAGCTCGAGCCGAGCTGTTGCTAGGAGACCGCTGACGCCACAAAGAGAGAGAGGAAGAGAGAGAGAGAGAGAGAGAGACGTTCATGCCATCCTGCGTTGCGTCCACTGAACGACCGATAGAATAGAAAAGTAAAGTTAACAGTTGCCATTAAACCCCATAGACTCATGCCACTTAAGATGTTATAGTAGTCTACACATTAAGAAATATTATTATTATCATTAATAATGGTGATAATAATGAAGGCTCTTGATTAAAAGAAGTTGTGCTGGAGACTGCGTTGACACAAGCTCCTCTCATCACACCACACTCACCTCAGGACTCCACACACGGTAAGTGACTAAAAAACAACCAAAGAGTTTTTGTTTCTTGCCCCAATTTGATTTTTTAATCATCAAGAAAGGAAAGAAATCAAAGGGAAAGACACAATGGTGTCAGTGCCCTCTACATCTGTCCATCCATCCATCCACAGCTCCATCCTTCGGCCCCAAAGCTGCAGGAGCCGTCTTTGTATATTCAAAGATCCCAGTCATGAAATAAGGAAGACAATTGAACCCACATAGCGAAATAGTTTTGGACCAGATTTGACCCACATCTGGCTCATGTTTGCCAGATCTGGGCAACAAGTAAGACATAGCAATAACACATGTCATCCAAAGGTGCCAAAGGTGGCCTGAATTTGTTTTGCGCTATCTGAGCCATATTCACCATTTGCCACATGAGCCACTTTAGGTTCTCACCAGATTACACCTCGCCCTGAGCAGCGCATATTTGTTTTGGAATATTTGGACATTTGTTGTTTTAATTATGGGTAAATTTAGGCCCAAAACCATTTTGTTCAGGCCATGAGAAGGACAGAAGTGTCAAATCATAGGCGCTGCCCACATCTGTATGCTATCTGGGGCCACAAGGGGAATTATTTCATGACAAAACTTATAATATTAGAATATATAATTCTGAGGGATGTGTTTCATTGATTTTATAGCACATGACTTGTGACTATGTTTTTGCCTGTTCAGAATATGCCTGTAGGCATGTTACAAAAAATTGTGGTAAACTCACAATTCACTGACGACATCAGTGACATTATAAAAGTGTTGGCTCTCAAATGTGTTTAAACACAGGAGCAGCAAGCAACACTGCACATCCTCTGGTCACCAGGAACATCCTGGCCAATTCTGAAGTCGACTGAAATAGAGGTTTTCGAGGAAATCAAAGGACAGACAGATTTCTACATTAGGAAATAAAAAGAGCTGGTGATTACAACCTTCTGATGTTGGTTTTTTTCATTTACCAGAAGCTATGGACCAGTGCTGAAGACACCAGAGATGCAGCCAGTCAGGTGGCAGAAGTAAGACGAAATCAAACAGACGCAGTTCACAGAGTCACATGCTCCTTGAGGGATATGTTAGACGGATGAAACACATGCTGCTCTGAAAAGAGATGCACATTTTGAAACCTTGTGCATGTTTCATTTGACCACATCAATACATCAAGAACATGCTCTCGTACCTCGCCCACTGATTCCTCCCTTCAATATTCCCTCACAGGTTAAATAACAGAAGGCTTTGAACATGATGGATGGGTTAAATTGGGTTTCTCCAGCAGCCACAGAAAGATGCATGCTTGATTTATTATTGATTCCCTTCTGAAACTGCTCCATTTTTCTTTTTTCTTCTTCTGCGCCCTCATAAAAGATTCAAAAGACCTGAAGGAGATCCTCGATGCTAAATGTTGTAATTCTCTTCAGCTGCAGTTCACAATAACTGGAATATTGATGTCAGGTAAACGGAGAAGTTGTCGGAGCTGTCAGACCTTGTGTTGAGAAGCTTCCGTTTTTTATTATTTCAGGTCTGAGTGGGTCAGTGTCAGTCATGGAATATTCATTAGCATTAAGTTACTGTACTTTTACTGCATTGAGTACTTTCTGATTGTCATAAGTAAAATTTTTAGGCATTAGTGCTAAAGTTATTTCGATGCTGCTTAATAAGGAACATAGACTGTATTTCTATGGAGCCACATAACGCGGGGATCGAGCCACTGACCACCTGCTAAGAGGACGACCCACTCTACCTCTTTACTTTATCTCACTATGTGGTCAATAGTTAATCTGCAGATCACAGATATAAAATGTATTACCAAATTATTTTCATATGTTTAATAAACCAGCATTAAAATGCTGCTTATACATGAGTGACAATAAAATCAACTAAAAGGGTATAAATCATGAAAAGTACTGAAATTGTGTTCTAAACTAAGAACTACAAAACAAATTTTTCCAAAATACACGAAGCATGTGAACAATAATATGTCTTAAAACTTCACACCGTATCTGAACCATGTACATTCTTCACTTTTGAAAAAAAGACCATGGACCATTTTGCAGCATTTGTGTTGAAGTTATTTTCTTAATTTACAGAGCATTTATGGTCAAATAAATAATAAATGGTTAAAATAAAACATCCAACCTAACTTAAGAGCTGCCTGCAGGAGGTTTTCAGTGGATTTTTACGCTGTGATATTGTCATTTTTACTGAAGATAATGATCTGAATACTTCCTCCACCTCTGGTCCATTGTCACCTGTTGACAGCATCACTTCAGGTTCTAAAAACTATTTCCTTTTGTTTATTCATTCTTTTAGTCGAATATACCAGAACATACTTTTTAAATTTGTGTCCATTTTATTATGTTTGGTAAGTGTGTGTCATTTCTTCTGTATTGTAAAAATACAAATCCTAAATAAACGAACTTCTCTAATCTTATACTTGGACACCTTAAAATAGAAAACGCTGCCATCTACTGGTGAAGAAAAGAAAAGACACTTTTAATTGACAGGATAATATTAAGGAGAGAAAAAAACGAACAAAAACACCATACCACATCGTTTTGTTTGTCATCAGAACATTTACTTCTAGGACTTGGCACATTAGTTTAGACAAGATCACTATGTTTCTGTGACACCAGTGCTGGGATGAGAAAAAGATGCTTCTGTATCCTCAAGTGCGCACACACACTCACACACACACTCACTCACACATTTTGTCAATAGATGAGATGATAACAGAGCAGCTCTGTCCCCCAGGAAGCATCAGTCCTGAAATGACAAAAAGGACAATGCTGTTACTGCAGAAAGGATACATGATTTATTAAAGATCTTTAGTGCCACAGCTCCTTCTCTATCTTTAATGTATGATCGTTCCCGCAGCAGCATGAGCTGTAACAACTACTGGGTTTTGTTCTTTTTTTTGGAGGGGGTCGTGAAGTCTTGTCAGGCCATGGCAGGTCTGAGAGCAGCGTGTTCTCTTCCATTTAAGCGATTGAACAGCAGCTCTTTTACGACTCTCCTATCTGAGGGAGTTGGCGCTGAAGTCTACCCCTTCTCTTCTTCCCTTCCGTCACTTGCACGTAAAACAGGGACGGAGTCACTTTACGACAGAATGCGCCATAAATAGAAACACACACAGCGAGGGTGTGGTTTGCGTGAAAACAGGGACTGCTGGTCAGACCTGTTTGTGACGATGTTCCATTCAAATGAACACACTACCGACGATTAAGCTGTCAACCTTTGAAACAAGGCGTGACAGCTGCGTTACCTGTCGAGCTGCATTTTATTGAGCTACAACCAACAAAAGGGAAAATGCGGCAGCACCAAAACAATCAAAATCAACAAAACCATGTTGGGATGAATCAAAACTTTGAACTCCAGGAGTGCAGCATATGACTCACGTCCTCGCTGCTGGAGGAGGATGAAGAGGAGGATGAGCTGCCACTTTTCTCTCCGTCCTTGGACTCCTTCTTGTGCTTCTTCTCGCCTTTGTCCTTGCTAGACTTATGGGACTTGCCAGATTTGTCCTTGCCAGATTTATCCTTGCTGTGACTCTTGTCCTTGCTGTGACTCTTGTCCTTGTCGTGACTCTTGTCCTTGTCGTGACTCTTGTCCTTGCCGTGACTCTTGTCCTTGCCGCTGCTCTAAAAATTAAAAAAAGGGCAAAAGTTGACCATGGGAAGATCATGAATTGAGTGCATTATCTCTTGAGGATTGTTTTGGGCCCAGTGATCGTAATTAATGAGAGAATAAAGAGCTGTTGGCCCAAATCCAGATTTAAAGGGGGGAAACTTTTTTGTAATCAGCCTAAAACACTCAATATGGTCAAAAAATGATATCAAGATAATCATTTTCACTTCAGTCGATGTCAACAATTATCACGATAAATATCAAATTATTATTCCTTTAATGATTTTAACTCCTGAGTAAAGGTTGTGGGTGTAAACTATTTTTTTATGGACAGAGAAAGACAAACACCAAATCTGAAGTAGAACAGTTCAGTGTTATAGCTCATCACTGTGTTTGTACAATGCATAAGGACGAAATCGACAAACTTTTACTGTGCAGCCATCGATGACAATCATATTTCAATAATTATTGACAACTTGTGTTGATGTAGAAACAAAGCTCCTACCTTATCATTGTCATCATCCTTTTTCCAGGGCCAACTAAACTCATCCTTCTGAGCCTCCTTTTGCTTCACCACCTCCTCGTCATCCTCCACAGCTGCAGAACAGAGAGCAGATTCAAGTTAGAATTAAAGTGTCACCAAGAGTAAAGTCAAGTAAAGTTGCACATTGAATACACTCCGTCTCATTATGATGCAGATTTTGGGTTTGTTTATTCACTGAGCTGCTGCCAGGTGCAAACACTAAACTACCTGTTTCTTTTTTTTAAAAGAACAAATGAAAGTGGACTGAAGTGTGAACTCACCTGAGGACAGACTGAAAGACATTCTTGCTGCTGTTCTTTTCCAAACAAACCGCACACTGACAGACAGGAAGCGTTTCTCTCAGGGAAAACACGATGGCCGCACCTACAACACATGATCCAGCCGAGACACGCCCCCTTACCGCACCTGAAATCACCTGGCTTCAACTTGTTCTGCAGAGGAGCTGCGTTCACATGCAGTCGGACATAAGAGCTTTAGCAATTGTGCGCACAGGATACACCTGCACAGTGGTTGGTCGGTTAATAACATACTCAGTAAGTGCATGGAAGGAGAGAAGAAGTCTAAAATAATTGAAAAATTGACTTATAACTTATAACTACAGCTTATTGTTATCTCTGTGCTGGGAGAGGGGGAGAAAACTGTACTTACTGGTACTTTCAAAGAAGTGTACTTATTTGAAGGTACCAGAAGGATTTCAGTGAAAACTTAAAAGAAGTCATATGCAGAGTGGCTCCTTTCAGTGTTTGTCTATTTAACATTGGATTTTATCACATGCTGCTCTGTCTGCTGTGTCATTTCTGAGAAATGGCTGTGTCATCCTTCCTGGCCCAACCTATCCCAGGGTTCATTGCTTTAGTGACAAACCGTTTTTTCAAAGAGGGAATGGTGCGGGGCAAGCAACGAGAAGTCCAATGTTTGAGTGTCACACTTCAGCTCAAACTAAAGATACACACTTTAAAATGACACGGGCATTACAACTTTGCAAATGTGGTAGAAGGCTCCATAGTTGTTCTAAGTCAGGGGTTTATAAGGTGTATGAGTCTGCCCTGACAGCAGCTTCTCTCACCTTTTACATGGTAACCAGCCCCTCCTGTTTATATTTCACAATATTAAGGCTGTAATTTGTAGGATGTCAAAAATTGTGTCAGTTGTAAAGAAAACTAGTGGTGAAATAGCTTCATTGATTCTTCTTGTCTGTTTATAAGTTAATTCCGGCTCCGTACATAAAGAAGTTGACATGTAGAAGTACCTGAAGGCACCATGTGTTAAATACGCAGCCTGTGAGCTATTTAGCCACTGACATTGTTGGAGCAATACTACTACTACTATTCCTGCTACAACTACTAATAATAATAATAAGTACAAGACACAATACAAATAATAATTGTTTTATTCCCCAAAGCAAGCGTTTGCAATTATCTCATGTGATCATGAGTTGACATTTCCTCCACTCGTGCTTTTTTCTTACACAAGGAGAACTTGAACATTTCCATCATGTCGCAATGCATCTTTACCCCAGTAAGCTCTGTGTTCAAACACAACACACACCAAACACTACTCCTTTCATTTTTCATGGTTTTTTGGGGGCATTAAATCAGGGGACTGAGGGGACATCATTAAAGCACAGGTCTTCATCACAATCAACCTTCTCCAGTGTCCAGTAACACGCTTTTTTACAATTTTCAACCAAGCAACGTAATTATTTGGATCAAATATGGACGTGTCATTACTGGTAGGGCCTGGGGCCTCTCAGCAGATCACTTGAGGTGAGATGGGTTGTTGAACGTGTCCCTGGCTCTCCGTACCTCCGTGGGCTCCCCATCAGGGCCTCCATGGGACTGGGAGGTCTGCGAATGTGGGCCCTTTCTGGAATACTTACTGAAGTGCTAGAGACAGCTGAGGCCGGGGAGGGATCCAGTTTTAAGACAGGTTTGGAGGGGAGTGGTACAAACGAGACGGCTACTGGAGAGACACAGGGCTTGGAGCTGCTGCTGCCACTGGGGGCAGAACATTCACCGCTACCTGAAGCCGACTCTTCCATTTTCGGTTCGGTGCTTTGCCCGCCTTCAGGACAGTCCTGTAATGACATCAACACCGTCACACATGAGAGAACCCGAGAATGAATTAAAACTTGTTATCGCACATAATCATTTTCACAGAATCTTTATCATGAAAAACTTACAGTCTTCTTCTTCTTCTTATCAGTTTCACTTCCTGATGAACCCGAACTCTGCACACAGTGAGCAGGTTATACATTTCACCTTCGCTGGGAATATGATTTTATTATCTGATGATATTCTTATTTGAGTAATTTACCTCTTTCTTCTTCTTTTTCTTGTCCTTCTTGTCCTTTTTGTTTTCCTTGTCGCTGTCACTGGAACTATCAGATGAACTAGATGAACCGGAGCTGGAGTCCTGCTCAGATTTAAAGGATGTCAATCATCTTTTTTAAGGACAAAGTGCGCAAACACTTATCACATAGTAAATTACCTTCTTCTTGTCCTTCTTCTTTTTCTTCTTCTTGCCTTTTTTTTTCTTCTTTTTCTTCTTGTCATCATCACTGCTAGAAGAATCTGAGTCCTTGGATATAATAACTGTGTTACTGTATTGCCTATTTTCAGAAGAAATGCTTTTTTATACGCACAGGAAACAACATTTTGCGAATACTACACATGCACATTGTTTTACCCTTTTCTTGTCTTTCTTTTTCTTCTTCTTCTTCTTGTCCTTTTTCTTCTTCTTCTTTTTCTTCTTATCGTCATCGCTAGAGCAGTCAGACGAAGAAGAAGAATCCTAGAAAGAGAAGTAAAATCATTTTTTCTAAATAATGTTTAATTTGAACCATAGAATTACACAGTGAGGTGTTATCATATTATAACTATAATACTCGCATTGAACATGCTATGAGTCTATCTATCCATATATCTATTTATCTATCCATCCATCTCTCCATCCCTCCATCTCAAGGAGTTAATATCAATTGAAAATGATCACATTTCCTCAACTGAAAACCTGGGATTAAAAACAAAAGATGAGGTGTTCTCACCTTCTTTTTCTTCTTCTTGTCCTTCTTCTTCTTATCTTTCTTTTTCTTCTTTTTCTAAAGTAAAACAAAAAGATGATGAATTGTGCAGCTGTGCCATCTCTTCACTGTGTGGAGTGTACTGTGTTGTAAATTGTGTGTCACCTCACCTTGTCATCATCACTATCAGAGAAAGAGGAGGATGAGGAGGAAGAGGAGCTTTCATCAGAAGAACTGGACTTCTACAAGTTTGTTCGTGGATAAATTTCAGTTACAGTAAGAGAACAGAGGTAAATGAACCACACATTACAAGTGATCCAATATGTTTACCTTCTTCTTCTTTTTCTTCTTCTTCTTGTCATCTTCACTGTCAGAGGAAGAGCACGAATCCTGAGAAACAAAAGCAACAATAATGTTTTAATACAAGGAAAATACAAAACAACCAACCAAAACCAGCACAAGTACGAAAACTGTAAAACACAAAATTATTAAAAACCTTATCCTTCTTCTTCTTCGTCTTCTTCTTCTTTTTTTTCTTCTTTTCATCATCGCTATCAGAGGAAGAGGAGGAGCTGGAATCCTGTAACACAAAAGCACTGAAAATGATTTATCATCAACAATACACACAATATATAAAAAGCATAAGGACACAACATTTAATGTACACAACTGTTGTGAAGACACAAACCTTATCCTTCTTCTTCTTTGGCTTCTTCTTCTTCTTTTTCTTCTTCTTCTTTTCATCTTCGCTATCAGAGGAAGAGGAGGAAGAGCTGGAATCCTGTAAATCGAAGTAGCAGGGATAATTTTATATCAAGATAATACACAACTGCATCAGCCTAGAAAAGGCTCAACAAATAAAATGAAAACACTGAAGTGTTGTGGAGTGACAAACCTTATCCTTCTTCTTCTTTGGCTGCTTCTTCTTCTTCTTTTTCTTCTTCTTTTTTTCATCTTCGCTATCAGAGGAAGAGGAGGAAGAGCTGGAATCCTGTTAATCGAAAGTAGCAGGGATAATTTTATATCAACATAATACACAACTGAATCAGCCTAGAAAAGGCACAACAAATAAAAGTAAATACACAAGTGTTGTGAAGAAACAAACCTTATCCTTCTTCTTTTTTGGCTTCTTCTTCTTCTTCTTCTTCTTCTTCTTTTCATCTTCGCTATCAGAGGACGAAGAGGAAGAGCTGGAATCCTGTTAAATGAAAGCAACAAGAAGAATTTTATATCAATATAAAACACAACTGGATCAGCACAAAATAAGCACAACGACAAAAAAATGAAATAGAGATGTTGTGAAGACTGAAGACACAAACCTTATCCTTCTTCTTTTTTGTCTTCTTCTTCTTCTTCTTCTTCTTCTTCTTCTTCTTCTTTTCATCCTCGCTATCAGACGAAGAGGAAGAGCTGGAATCCTGTAACACAAAATCATAGATAATCATTAAACATCATTACAATTCACAGCTGAAACCACACAGAGTACAACAAATGTAATACACGTGTCGTGACGAAACAAACCTTATCCTTCTTCTTCTTCACCTTCTTCTTTTTCTTCTTCTTTTTCTTCTTATCATCTTCACTGTCTGAAGAGGAGCTATCAGATGAAGAGGAGCTGGAGGAGTCCTGTGAATCATATTGAAACGACACATTCCCACTTCAAAATAGTTTTCCATTTGTGTCATGAGTCAAATAGTTTATATTATAATTTTAAAAGAAAGAAAAAGTCATAGTGTGATTTACATCCTTATGTATAGGAGACGATTTGGAGAAAAAAACACTATCAGTAGATATATTCAGAGCTTCCATGGCTCTCTATACCTTTTCCTTCTTCTTCTTCTTCTTTTTCTTCTTCTTATCTTTTTCATCATCGTCACTGTCCGAACATGAACCAGACTCCTGTACACACAAAAAATTATTATCTTTTTCATTTCATTTTTTATCATCACTGTAGATTCTGATCTTGATTATACTCTATCATAACAGCGTTATGTTGTAAATATTGCATTAGTACGCACTGGTGAAAACATACTATAGCAATTGCCAAGCCCATTAAAGGGCATTAAAGGAAGACTGATGCATTCTCTTTATTGCAGCATGCACATAGCACGATTACCTTCTCCTTCTTCTTCTTCAGCTTCTTCTTCTTCTTCTTCTTCTTCTCCTTCTCCTTGCCTCCCTCTCCCTCATCATCACTCAGGTTGCCTTGCTCATCTTGGAATGCCTCTATTCCTCCTGCTGGACAGGGAACATCATTACAACCCAAACAAAATCACATTCACTGATCCTGACTTTGTGTTTGATTTGTGTTTAATTTGTGTAGAAGCACACGTACCAGCCGATGCAGAGGACAGCTTGTCTTTGTCTGCTGCTTTAAGCTCTTTGGCTTTGGCCTGTCACGACAAAAGAGGACAATAACTTCTTATGTGTTCGTGCACAGGAGTATGTGCAGCATGCAAACAGTTCGTATGAGTATTTCACCTTCTCAGCATCTCCATCAGTATTTGGTCCTGCAGTCTCATTTTCTGCAGAAAAGGGCAAAACAACACTGATGCATCAACACAACAAACAGTGACGATTGTTGCTGTGATTTCCAAGGATTGGAAATAAAGTAAACACTCACCAGCTGCTGAAAGAGCGACAACACTGCTGAGCTCATTCTGCTCTTCATCCTGTGAATCCACACAGATACAATCAAGCTTAAGCTGATGATATATACTGTAACTTGTTTCTCCCTACACGTCTACACACACACACGTGCATATACGAGTCATACAAACACATCAACACCTTTGTTGACAAATAATGACAAATCAGTGTTCAGACCGACTTGTGTCTGCAGTAGTGAAGAATTTGAATAAATATGAGGCGAGGTGTCAAGACAGTGTGGAAGAAATATGTAAAATAACATGCCGTTCTCCTGCAGGCCCTGACAAGCACACAAGCTTTTTTTCTCAGGAGGTGTGTGCAGAGTTGAGGAGTCAGAGTTGCTCGCTGCTACAAAGTGAAGACTTCAAAGTCAACACGTCATGCTCGCAGGAATGAAGAGTTTAACCCGGATCCTGCATAATAAAACCTAAGCGAATGAAAACCTGCTACGTTTAAAGGCTTTAGTCTTTTTTAAATACAAGTTTTTTAAACCTTTTTCTTATCCGTCTTCTTCTTCTTCTTTTTCTTATCTCCATCACTGTCAGATGAAGAGGATGAGGAAGAACATGAGGAGCTGGAGCCCTGTGTAAATAAATCAAGTATAAACTATATGTGACTTACAGTGTAATGATGAACATGATGCCGAAATGACAAATCAGACATGTTCATTTACCTTTTTCTTATCTTTCTTCTTCTTCTTCTTCTTGTCCTTCTTTTTCTTCTTGTCGTCTTCGCTGTCAGAAGATGATGATGAAGAGGAGGAGCTATCTGAGGAAGAGGAGCTAGAGTCCTGTAAAACGAAGGAGAAGAAATGAAACAATGAATTTATTATTATTAATATGATTCGTTTTTATTCAGCCACAGGAACAGAAAATTGATATATTGGTTTAGTCATGTTTATATTTACCCTCTTCTTTTTCTTTTTCTTCTTCTTCTTTTCGTCCTCACTGTCAGATGATGAACTGTCAGATGAAGAGGAGGATGATGATTCCTAGGACGGAGGAAGCACAGCAGAGACATGAAGTAATATAAAGGTTAAGTGTCAAGTAAAATGATTCATTATTGTTGTATAATCTGTTGGACATGAGACAAATTTAGTATACCTTCTTTTTCTTCTTCTTCTTCTTCTTCTTGTCCTTCTTCTTCTTGTCTTTCTTTTTCTTGTCCTTCTTCTTCTTCTTCTTTTTGTCTTTCTTGTCGTCCTGGTCATCTGATGAGTCCAAATCCTTAAGAAACAAACAAATAAAACCGTTAATAACAAGTGTAACATCATCAGCATGCTCAAAATGGAGAATGGCTTGTTTTCTCTCTCACCATGATCTTCTTCAGACCGTCTCCAGACACCTGCTCCATCTGGTCATCAGGACCTGAAAATATTTAAATGGTTAAAATGAAAAGCTTTTCTTTAATAAATGAAAAGCATGTCTTCATACATTGTTAGTTGAGTTAAAGTGACTGAAAGAAAATCTGAATGTGTAAGTTTGAATAAGTTCATGAGCTGCTGTGAACACAGAACTTGAAAGACGTCTATGAACCGTACAGGAGATAATGTCACCACATACTTGCACTAGTTAATAAGACAATTCAATTACTGGAGCATCTGGACTAACTGGAAGTATCAGAAGTCCCCTAGAAAAAAATACAACCTATATGCTCAAGCTGCTCCGCAAGCTTACCTCCACTGTAAGAAGAAAGTGTACATGCAGTATATAACCTTTGCATCGCTCTGACTCCACTTTAACAGGCTTTATTTAGTAATGTTTGCATGTTTATGAGCCTAATGAGAAAAAATATTAAGTTAAAAAACAGCAGACGAGATAAAAAAAAAATTATCCACTTGTTATTTATAAATAACCTTAGAAAGGATTTTATGTTGTAACACAGGAATACTTGCAAGTGGTATTTCTTTGGGCGGGACGACTATATGTATTACATACTTTTGAAATTGCAGTTTTAAACTGTGTACACTGATTACACAGCAGTATTATGTATCCAATATGCATAAAACATTCCATCACTCAGATTGTTGTGTGTTAGCCTCTGTTTGTGAGATTTGTTTAAAGCTATAGTGTAACATGCAGTCTTATTTTTATTGTTTAATTTGTGTAGGGACCCCACATATGTTCAGCTACATGGAATTTGTTTTTTGGCTCGTTTAGTCCGAATAAACAGAGATTGCCTTCGAACACATTCATGGTCCGGCCTTTTCATTAAATGAATCACAGCACAAACATTACTTGACACCATCGGTTACAACCGCAAATAAGAAAATTCTCTTACCACACTGAGATATGACAACATTGTCCCAGATATACTCATCCTTCTTCTTCTTCTTGTCCTTTTTCTTCTTCTTCTTCTTGTCATCCTGTAAGGGAAAGTCAGTCTATTAATGTTATTCATATTCATTTTGTTTTGTCTTTTGTAAATATATTCATGTGCATAAAAATCATTTTCAAAGTGAGTGTTATATTTATTTTATACAGTGTAAATAAAGAAAAGGGACCGGATCAGGGTTGGGTGTTTCCTACTAGATATAGATAAGGAGTTTTTTTCACTATGGTCAGATAACAAACACACACACACCTGCTATGATGGTGCAGCCAAAACCAACACATGAGACATGATATCTGCTGACTTTACATATGACACATACAATATTACAAACTAGATACACGATAATACAGCACATTTACTGTGTACTTATACTTTCAACATGCACTCACACCCACATGGTTAGGATTTCTAGGGTGTTCCCAATCAAAATAACTCTGCACAGGTCACACATGGGTTCGTCATTGCTGTGACATTCTTTGGTTGATACAGAGGGTGTTTCTAACTTCATCTCTGGGTGTGTCGCTCTCCTTTCAGATACTGCCTGCTATCAGATCCAGGGCATTTGAGCGTACACCTCAAGTGCCTAGAGTGAAATTCATTCTAGTGAGTACTGTTCAGCCCTAAGCGAACAAATGGGGTGGTAACTAAGTTTTTAGAATAATTTCATCTTAAAGTTTATCTTAACCTTTGCTTCTCTCTTTTGTGTTGAAAACTTGTCGCCCGCTTTTCTTGACTCTCCTGATTTTCCACCCACACCCTCAGAAAACACTCCACACATCATGCCATCGTGTGACTCCAGTCACATGAAGCAGAAATGTTACGAAACCACGTGAAAAAAAAGGTGAAATACTTTTTTTCCTTGCGACATATTTCCTTGCGGATGATTCATGCTCTTATCACATCTTTCAGAACAACACATCTTTTTTATTTATTTATACATACAGTCAGATTTAAAACCATTCTGTCCTAAATATTCTCATATTGTCAACTCTGAAAAACTCCAAATATCCTCACCTAAGGCGGTGACATAGTTAGATTGACAATCAGTCTCCTGTAAGCTGATGTGAAAGTGTTTATGCTTGTGGCACATGACTTAATTTAGCTGTGCTGCAGGAAAGAAAGAGCTCTAAATCTCAGGGATTAACAAAAACAACAAACCGCACTGTGGAACCATCAGATCTGAAAGACTGAAACTGAAAGACTCCCAAGAGCGGAGCGTGGAGCGACAACACCTCTCAAAATGATGGACGTAAACAGCAAGTCTCAGGCAATTGAAAGAATTGTGATGACTGCAACTACTGTGTGACATGTTGTTGCAAGACAGGAGCTGTGAGGAGGCAAGATTCCTCTGCAGCACACAGCCGTGGGATTCCTTGATCAGCATCTATGTCATAAGCACAACTTACCTCACTGTCACTTTCTGAGGAGCTGCTGGAAGAAGAGGAAGAGGAGGAAGATGAGGAGGAGGAGGAGGACGATGAAGAAGATGAGGAGGAGCTGGAACCCTGTGCAGAAAGAAAGAAAGAAAGAGAAACTATTGCTCAACCTGCTGTACATAGGTTTAATACACACCTTAGTTGGTGAAAGTGCTAAATGAGAATCTAAATGAATGAGTCACTAGAGAAACACACACTGGAGTGAGGCTTTGTCAGTGACACTTAGGGAGGGGCTCTTCAAACACTTAGCAACACACAAAGGAAACTACACAAGCAGCCATTTTACAAAAAACACACACATTCCCACTTTGCTGTAAACCAAAATAATGCTGCAAAAGTGACGGTTGACATGAACTATTAACCAATTCGTTCCTTTTGTTATTCTCTGCTGTTCGACCGGCTGTTGCTAGGCACCGCCCACATTGCACTTCCTCCTCTGTCAGATGTCAGGATTATGCAAACTCCTGATTTCTGCAGCCTCACCTGAGCAGATTCCACTCTCCCTCCAGCAGCCACAAGATCTCCTGACTGTTGTCAAGTGACGGGATTTCCTCTCATCACTTGACACTTTTCAAGAACTGACTTGGTGATAGAACATTTCATTGTGAATATTACTTGGTTAGCGGTGAAGATAAGTTTCTTGAGACACATACTTTCTTCTTCTTCTTCTTTAGCTTCTTCTTCTTCGTTGGTTTCTTGCCAAGACCCTCGTCCTCGCTGTCAGAGGACAGTGAGCTGTCAAATGAGTACAGATCCTGGGTCGAACAAAAAGAGAGGGAGCAGACGTTATTTCATGCGACCTAGACGTGATGCACATAATTATATTTGTAGCAGCCTCTGCATTGCTACACCGGTTAAAGCATGAAGACGTTTTACAGTTTATTGTGGTTGGTTTTTTTAAAGAGGTTTTTCCAGGGGATTTCCACTGACTGGTAAAGTGGACTAACCAACACATCTGATGCACATTAAAATTCAAGGTGTATAACTTCATGCAATATCATGCAGCTGCAGCAAAGGAAGGGAAAGATTGAGCAAGGCCTAAACTAAGATTCTTAACAGCATAGGTGTGGCCCTTCCTGAAATGAGGGGGGGAGGAGGATTGGTATCATGAAGTTATAACTAACGGATCCCAGAATATTTGACAGTAGAATACAATGGATCGCTGCAGTTTAATGATTGGTCCTGCTCACCTGTCCATCTCTAGCTCCTGACGGGTGTCCGGGCTGAATGTTCTCTTCCAGACTTGCAGGCTCTGCCTCCTCAGTGAGCGGTGGCAAACCACTGGGCAGGGGGACAGCTGCCGGGTGCTCGACACCTGCAGCGCCTGCTCCACCTGGAGCTGCACAGCACAGCAGGGTGACAGGAACAGACACCAGTTACTCAGAGTCACTATAATGAGCTGCCAGTGTCTACAAACTGCATCAGCTGTTGTAGCAACCAAGGTTTCTATGCTGGTTGTGTGAAAACAACTAAAGGATTATTATGTGACTGCACTTCCCTGTTGCTTCACTTCCTCAAACAGACAAGTTCAATCATATCAAATATAAAACAAGTATAAGCTGCCAAATCGTTGAAGTGATTTCTGCAGATTAATGACTTTCTGCTGACCTTTGCCATAAACCACACAAACTATTACAACAATTGAGAAGTGCCACACCCCTTAACACTACAGGGAATGGAGACAGTGTCTTTGCTATTTGCTATGTTATGTGTGGGACTACATCAAGTTTAAAACGGTATTGACAGCACTTTCAGTAGTGATTGTCATGTGCTGATTAAAGATAAACAATGTAATGGAACACACAGTGATCCAGCTCAAACTAAGTCAACTTCAAAACAGAACAACTTTAAGAGAACACACCTTTGTGGAGAGTGGACTCCATCCAGGTCCGGGTCTTTCTGTCCAGGGGCCCAGGTCTCCTCTGACAGACCCACCTGAGCAACTCTGAGACAAGGTGTTGAGCTGGACTTTTTTATGGGTGGGGACAACGGGAAAGTGTCAAGGAGGCCAAAATCAGACACTTCCCTTCACACATTTCAAAATAAATTCCATTTTGAAAGACAATACCTAACATTACAACAATTGCACCTGCTATAAACTCACTGTGCCTGATCTAGCTGTGAATGAGGAATGGTTTTTTTGTAATGTGAGAGGCAGCAGCTGACACAGTGTTTGTTTTTCTTTCAGACTGGGCCATACAGTGTTTTATTTTGAAAGCAGTAGTGTCTCATTACTGTGACTGTTTCTGACTGGTGGAGCCTCTGCAGCCAGAATGGCTGGTTTACCTGTGTCAACAGGTACTGCCAGTTTCACTGGGTGGGAGCTACAGTGTCTGCAGGAGTGGAAGGTAACGTTGTAAAGTTGTGTCATGTTCAAACACTGACTCAATGCAGAAAGGGGTTAAACAGTTTCATACCAGGATCAAATTATGATCCATGATACACAACAATAAACACATAATGAACGTGTGTCCTGCCAGCTCAGGAGCAAAACCGAGGAGTGTTTCTTCTTTGGGTCTCTAGTTAAAATGAGTGCAGTTTATATACTGACATAGAATATAGTCAATACAACACCATCCAACATTTAAATAAAGTGCGCTGTTTTTGCATATCACAACTACTTACCACTACTTCCTCTGCACATTATTGTATAACACACACACACACACACATCTTTCTATAGTTGCACTACATAAAATATACTGCCACTTGCTATTTAGTATACTATGATGAACTTATATTGTTTTTGTATACCACACCTGCATATATACTTATCTCCTTGTACTAATGCACAAAAACTGTTTATCCTGTACCACCGTGCTTTACTGAAGTACATTTCTATGCAAACAATATGTCCAGAGTGAAAAGGTGTATATTATGTACAGGACTTTTATTGAATTGTCTTTATTCTACTGCCTTTTCCTTCTCTTGTCTACCTCACGGTGTAGGATCAATACACTTTAATCTTATTTTATTTTATTTAATCTCATGAACCCTGATTTAAATCATGCAATGCTGCTGTGTCGCCCCCCAGAGGACGTACAGAGGATTGACCACAGGGTCACGTCTCACTTGTCAAACGGGTTATTCAGGTTCCCTTCCAGCTTCCGTAGTTCCATAGTTCCATAAAGATAACAATGTTAAGATCGGTCAACTCCGGAAATGGTCATTTAATTCCAAAATAAAAGTAAGTATATACTACTATTAAAGTGAAAAAACAACTAATAACGAAGGCTATATTGCAAATTTCAACAAAAAAACAGAAACATAAAATGAAAAATACAACATATTTATAATGAAGTTGATATAAAAGTCATATTATAAAACCTCCACGGAAAAGGAAATGCTTGTTCAACAATGTAGTGGGTTGACATGTTGTGATGTAGTTATGGCTGAACACAACTTTCTCACCTTCATCTACGTGAGTCTTCGTCACCAGCTCTGATCCCTGTGCGATGTAGCCTGACCAGCTAACGTTAGCTTAGCTTAAAGAGGACCGCTCGTGTGTTGGCTTCATCTTTTATTTTGTTTTTAACCTTTTTTCACCGCGGCTCGCTGCTGCTGCTGCGTTCACGGGACTTTACCAAACTAATGTCCGCAGCCCTGCAGCTGGAGGACCAGAGGACCAGAGCCATGACTAATGTTGTGGGTCCGTTCACACTCGAATGACCGACTGGTCGTGTCGCCATGCGGGGCCGAGCGACGTCCCCGCCGCTGACAGTGACGGTCCTGGCCGCGCTGTGGGTCAGTGTGGGTCGGTGCGATGCCTCCGGGTCCCCGGGGCCAGGGTGCGACAATGGAAAGGTGCGTGTGCGCGTGCGTGTTTTAAGGATTCAAGTTAAGGTGTTCCCTTGCTGCAGACATCAACATGCAGTGTGTGTGTGTGTGTGTGTGTGTGTGTGTGTGTGTGTGTGTGTGTGTGTGTGTGTGTGTGTGTTAGCTCTCATTGGACAGGGACATGCCTGCAGCCTCTCTCCATTGGGACTGTCCAGTGTCCACCTGGACGAAGTCTATTCAGGTAACCATGGACACAATACACTTCATCTTCTGCATGTTCCACACAGATGGAGGGGGGGGGGGGTGCTGTAACAGGCTGGGTGGCAGGAAGTTAAAACAATAAGGGAAACGTGGCCCTGCCAGGAGCATGAGTACTGTTCTCTGATCAGCTCACAGACAGACAGGGGGATACAGGATGTCCATGTTGCTCTGTCAGTGGTTGACCCTGCGTTCTCTCTCTCTGCCTTATCTACAGAGACGTCCCAGTATTGACACAGTGTATGATCCTGAGGTGAGCAAACACTTTACAGAGCATCGTGTATCTTTATTGAGTTTTCCCTCAACCTTTGACACTCCACACTCCCAGGGCTGTTTCCTAAAATCTGGGTTACAGTCAGTCACTCACCCAAACTAGGAGAGCACTCAGTCGGGGGACACAACAGTCCCCTTCTAAACCAAATTTAAGATCACTATATCCAGATGTTTTATTTGTATCGGCACCAAATTGCGCACACTCACATATCTGAAAACACATTCGATTTTTTTCCAGCCCTGACCCAAACCAATTCCTTCCACCAAGTTTCTTGGTAACCTGTCCAGTAAATCTTTAACTAACAAATGCAGATGAAATTAAAGTTTACAATTTTGATGCAAATGCATGACATGAACAGAAGAATCACCCTGTGGAGGCTGTTTGACGAGTGGTGAGTAGAGTTGATAAAGTCTAACTGGACCTCATGTCTCTTCCCTGCAGCCAGCCAGGCTGATGTGTATGAACAAGCCCATCTCCTACACTCACACCATTCCAAACAGGTGAGCAGATGTTTTTTCTAATGGCTTCAACTGAGGTGGAAAGTCTTTCAGTGGATTGCCACATCCAAGTGTAAGATCTCCAGTCCTGTACACACAGCTGACCACATTTATAAATACACTTATTGTTGTTGTCCTTATATGGTGCTTTGCAATTCCACAAGTTAGCAGCAGATGTAACTTTGTCACATATATACGTTTCATGGAATCTAAGTTGTGTCTATTGTGTGTCTTTGTGCTTGTGTGCAGTGGAGCGTACAGACCAGTCAGGGCAGAGAGTGGAGAGTACCTGTACTGTCCTCCTCACAGGTGGCTCAACAACTTGCATGTAAGTTTAAACATCAAACATCTTTTTGATCTGTATCTGTCTCCACTCTCATCGAAATTAAAACCCTCCATTTATTTTGAACCTTTTGTTGAGATGACGTCATCATGGATCATCCCAGTTTAAACTTGATAAGAACCTTTTATAAAAGGCACAATAAATAGTTTCTAGTCCTACAAACAAATCCAGAGGTCTCATGCTGTGCGCTTGTGTTTCTGTTGTGTATTTTCCAGCATGGAGCTGCTGTTCTGCTCTACCACCCCTGTGCTCCCCTCCACGTGCGTCACTTTCTTTCCGTCCTGGCCAGCTCTTGTTTGTCAGAATACATCATTACACCACATCCACGCCTCAATCAACACATGGTAAGAAACACTTAAGCTGCTTTCCGACATGCTCTGAACTCAGGGGATCCTCCAGACCTTCTCCAGAGGGGCTGTGTTTGTGACCACTAATCTGACCCCCCCTAGTATAGACTCACACAGCAGGAGATTCAGATACAGAAACCCTGTTTTTTTAGATTATTTGTCCACCGTGACTAAATCTGGGGGATGAGTTTTCACTGCTGCCTCTGCTCAGCCGATAGCTTTGGTGTCCTGGGGTCGCACTTTGGAGCTGGCTGCTGTGACCTCTTCAGACGTCTGCGATTGGCTGGAGACCCTGACAACCACAAGAAATGACTTGAGCGGTGTGACCCACATCAGAAAATATGACCTGCTGCTAGCCTGGCCGGCGAAGCTGCAGCAGCTGCATTATACACATCCAGAGGAACGTTCAACAAAAATGAAGGTTCGTAGTCTTTACTAATGATTGTGAGGATTTTTATTCACACGTTGTCAACTATAAGTCATTTTACATGCACTACGATAAAAGAAGCGTTAAAGAGTCATTCAGCAGTCTGTGAACTGTCTCTAAGTAGCTCTTATTTTAAATCCCCAGGACTCTGTGAGACAGTGCTGTGAGAAGACCATCTCTTCTCTGCTAAATGAAGCAGTGGAGGCAGAGCTGGAATCCAGAAGGAGGAACGAAAGCTTGACAAAAATGGAAAAGGAAGGGAAAGGCAGAAAAATAAGAGCTGCCATCAGAGAAACACAGCCGGCCAATGAGAAGGGAGACGTCCAGAACAACAACACCACACTAGTAGCATCTGAGGATTCTCCTCCAGGGAACAGAACTGTCTCAGATCCTCCTGGTCCAAGTGAAGCTCTTCCTCAATCTAACATCCAAAATCTGAATCAGAGCCTTACAGCCGGGCAGATGACTCCTTCTGGGTCAAATATGTCTGAGGTTACAAGTGATTCTTTAGAATTAAAGACTTCTGATTCTCAGAAAACGATACAGACAGAAACACTGCAGCTCACATCTAAACACACTGAAGCCACACACACAAAACCCTCTCAAACAGAGATTCTTTCAGATGTTGTGAATAGTGAAGACAACCTCACTGCGAGGCCTGAGGCACTGGACCTCAGTCCCAGAGATGAAGGTGAAGACTCTGCTGAACACAGCAGGAAAGAGAATGACTCTAAAGAGAAAAATTATATCGCAGCAGACGGGAAGTTGAGGGACAATGAAGTAGTGGAAGTAAAAGAAAGGGAACTGGAGCATAAGCAAACACACAACACTCCACACTCTCACCACAAAAGTGAAAACAACGGCTTAGATTCTGTTTCCAAATCCGATCCACCCCAATCCAAGCAGGCAGCCGTTAACCTGCCGAACAGCCACGACTGTGACAGCTGCAAGGCGGGCGAACACTGCGACTGCACTAAGGCCTCGGCAGCTGACTTCCAAGCCACCATCATGAGCAAGGGGTTGCCGAGGACCCCTAGGACGGACGAGGCCGTGTGGGCCGCAGCAGCACTGGGCTTCCTGTTGGTTCTCCTGACGCTGTCCGTGCTTCACAGTCGCCTGTACCGCCACTGGAGGACCACGCCTAGTCTGTACTGGCATGATCCCCGGCAGGACTATGACAGCGTGGCGGGTGAGTGGACCACACGAGAACACAAGAGAACTGATCTTCCTGTGAACAGGTTAATCAGTTTCTCCTCAGCCTTTACACTAAATATGTCTGAATTCATCAAGATTCACACATTTCCCCTGTTCAGCAAAGTGATAAAACATTCCTGGATCTGCACCAAAAATTCTTCCTTGGCCCATGTCCATTAAGTTTTGTGTTCTGCTGTTTGTGTTTTTTGTGTTATCTTGCTTACAAATGAACAACAAACACACAAACAAAGAAATGAGGTGAAAACATAACCTCCCTGCCTGAGGTCAGAATGTACCTACATGTATATTTCTTAACACTGTAATCTCTGTGTGTCTTCTAGACGTGATCCAAAGGAGGTTGAGGATTGCTAAGAGGAGGCGGAAAAGGGGCAGAAGAAAGGAGTGCGTTCTCCTGCCGAGCTCCTCCAGCTCAGATGAACTTGCGTAGAAAAATGAAGGAAACGTCATCAAGAGCTCCAAGAACCCAAGTCTCATGGAATGTAAAAAAGGACAGAAGAGGGAGGTGTTGAATTATCAGAACTCTCTTGTGTCTGTGGAGCTGTCTTCTTTCCACAGGGCTGGGCTGCACGTTATGCTGGTTAACGTTAGAGGACTCATTTAATTTGTTGCATTTTGAAGCATTAAGATCGGTACTGTAATTATTTTTATTTCTCCTTGTAAATGGATCCATGAGACGGAGAAATAAAATCAGAATTTGACTTTTTAAAAAGGAGCCAGACCACTGAGACACATGGGCTCTGCACAAGACTCAGATTTAACTCAGACTTGATGAAGTATATTTAAGAAAGATTGAAGCCATAAAAACATCAGATCAGAGACTCCAAGACAAGCCCTCAGGTTTTACTCAGATCACTTTTTAGAGAATACTTACAGTACATTTGTCTGATCACATCCTCCCAGACAGTGCTCAGTGTGTAGGGACTCATTTTTCACACTCCATTTTCATCACTAACTAGTCTCCAGATCTATTTTTCTACCCAATGAAGGTTTTTTTATTGAGTCACATTGTCTTTGTTGTGAGTAGTATTGTAATACATTGTTTTTACCTGTTCAGGTCTAGTTTGTGGTAAGTTGCTGTTCTAAGCAACGTTGTGTGCAGCAGGTGTTACTGAATGGTACGAACACGAATCAATGTATATGAAAGATGTTTTAAGAACGATTAACACAGACAATAAATCATTGACACAAGAACTGAGTGTGTGAACTGCTTCTGGATGTCTTCTCATGTCGTATAACACACATAACAAGTACTTAAAACTAAATTATAGCTCAAATTACTGCTAGAACACTTCGTGATATTGACATTTGAGTTTAAACAAATCTGAAAACAACTTTCTTATATTGTTTTTTGAATAAACAAAACATCTTAATAATTAAATTCAATCTCAATTGTGGTATAGCATCAAATCACTACACACATCAGGGCACTTTACATAGTGAGGCTGAGACCTTACAAAACTACAACAGTTCCCACAATGAGACAGAATGACTGCATGTTGAAGATAGAAAGTAAAAATAATAGTATGAAGAGCTGGTTCTTTCTTCCTAAATGAATTAGCTGGTTTTATAGTATTTACACATCTACAGACCGTGACATAAACTTAAAGTTTTCTAACTTGCCAAGTGATCGTCACAGACTAGTTGTTAACACTAGGTAGCTCTGTTCTGTTAAATCAGGATCGCAGCCCAGGCCTCTCTTGATATCCTCCAGACACAGATGCAGTATCCATCTTGAAGCAGTGGTTTCCTGTATTCCACATTCAGCAAAACCCCATGACGACATCATTTTTAGTTTTCCATAACTCTTTCCTGCATGCGGTGGTCCAATTGAGGTTGTGATTAATTCTGAAGCCTGTGTTTGACGTAAAGAGGAAAAAAGGATATCTTCTGTGTGTTTCACTCAGGTTTACTATTTCCATGGATAGGTTCTTGTTCATCATGTCCTCCTCTGTCTGACATCCCTGACTGGTTTAATAAGAATGATCCATGCAGAGAAACCAGAGCGAGAGACAGAGGTGAGTTCGGGTGTGTTTGAGCTGCACATGAGCTCAGGTGCTGCCACCTCACTGATGACTCTCTGCCACACCCACCTCCAGCAACAGGAGCACAGAGTGGAGAGGGTCGTCACAGCCCTCATGTACATTTACGTCTAAGAGTGGGATTATAACCTTCCTTTCTGATAATCTCATATTTATACCAGTTTAGTCATGCTGCCATAGGACTAGATTGTCAGGGAACACACGGAGCTTCTCGCTCCTCCTCCTCTCCATCACATTCATGTCTCATCCATACATGTCACTGACTTCACTTCTTGTGCTTCTTCTCGGCTGCGTTCACATGATGGATTGTAGAGGCAGCTAAAGGTGGATTATGATCACAACTAGATAAACAATACTCTTAATCAAATATACAACCATTGCTGATAATACAGTTGTCATTGCTGCTTCCTTTTAACATTGACATACCTTTGTCAGAGACTCTTTTCTCATGAATTAATTAATTTTTTCTTGATGTGTCGTTACATGACATCTCTTAAACATCTGTTCATCCTGGGAGAGGGTTCCCTCACATGCTGCTCTCTCTGAGGTTTGTTTTTGGTTGTTCTTTCTCAACTAGTTGAGGGTTAAGGGCAGAGGGTGTTATTGTTTGTATCTATATAACACTTTACTTGTCTTTCTACAGTAGTTTTTGCCATTCACCAATGTATACAGATCATCTATGTGCATCACTTTTTCAATGAAAAGGGACACTTCAGCATTCAGAATGGGGAAGACTGGCATCGAACTGACGACCTTCTGGTAAGAGATAAACCCTATGAGGCAAATTGTGATTTGTGAATATAATAAACAATTTGATTTGTCAAATTGATGTAGTTTATGTCTACAGTTCCGGCCTTCAGATCTTGATTGAAACTTACACACAGATGTAAATGCACATATCAGAAAATAGAGAGAAGAAGCATACTGCAGACACAAGCGGGACAATTAACTTGTTTTTTAAATTTTATTACAAATGTACAGCTTATGAGTTTCCATTACGATTGACCTTTTTTAAGTCATTGTTTTCTCTACTTTTTACAGTTTTAACGTCTTCTGTTAAAAGATAACTCTCCCATCACCCATCTCCCAAAGTGTAGCGCTGTGAAGAAACATGGGGACATCAACAGTGCGGGCCACGGTGCACTGCCAATGGCTGAGTATCAGAAGTGTGTGTGTGTGTGTATAATTCACCGGCTGCAAACGTAATGTTTGTACTTGTAGGAAGGCTTGGTCCAACTGAGAAGTGTGTGACGGTGTGTGTTTGATGTTGGACAAATAAGCATTAACATTCACACTGGAGGCACCCTATGTAGTGTCCATACATTTGGGGGAGGCTGAGGCCGTGTGCGTTTTTAAGACCCTCTCCCCCTTGTTTTGAGATGACTGTAGTGCTAAGCTAAAGTGCGCTTCAGACCGCTCTATCTCCCCCCTCCTTCACCGCATCGCTGCATCCTGCACCTCTTGTACCTGAACTAAAACCTTTGGAAGAGAGAGGTACATCATGTAGATCCTACTTCATCCAGCTGGTGTTTGAAAATAGTGCAACTGAGACCACACCTGAATCAAACGTATGTTCTCACTTCCTGTGGATTGTAATAGGATCAGTATATGCTTGACATTCGGTGTCAAGACTTAAGAGCGGAGGAAGAGAGTGAAGATTTGGCCTGAAGCTCACTTGAGCCTACAAATAGACATAAATATCTCACAAACATAACCCTAACATATAGCTTAATATAAAATATAGCATGAAAATATACGTTCATATATATGGCTCTACTCTAAAACTTGGGCGATCATGATTGAGGGGACAAGCTTCTCCGCTGGCCCCGATGTGTGTGTTTGTATGTGTGCAAGTATTTCTGTAGTTTCAGCAGTCAGTACATCACTGTAACTCAGCCAGTCATAAAAGGAGATGATGATGTGCAAAGGCATTCAATATCAAACAATGATACATTTCAAGAGTCTTCCGGACATGATTAGTTTTGACAGGGAACGGAGAAAACGTTCATACTTCGTCCCGCAGAGACGAAACTGCACGAGACACTGAGGAGCACTGACAGTCAGACGCCCCAACTGATGACCAGGGGAGGAAAAGCGAAAGACTAAACGTGAATTAAGAGGACAGAGAAGTGCTGAAGGCGGTCTGGCATCAGTTTCTCAAAGTGTTTGGGGCAAGTTGGGGTTTAATTGCTTCTTGCTAATCGGCAGCAACACAAGAAAAAAAAACTCAACGTTGAGATGTACGGTGAATGCTATTAGAAGGACGACGCCTTCGTTTCAGGAAGGTGAATTTCTAAATGCGCAGAATCCTTCGGAGCCAAGAGGCAAGATTATGCAGAAGACGTTAACCTTAGTTGCAGGTATAACCACATTTGCTCGGCACAGAACAACTGTGCTTGAACCTACAATAGGTTAAGTGCGTTATCTCTGAAAAGCAAACAAAAAAAAACAACTACTTTGTTCCCAATGCTGTCTCCCATGAGAGACGGTGAGCTAGAAGTTACAACTTCTAAGGCCCACGTCAGCAGGCCGTGACACAGAACCAAGCGTACGACAGTGGCTGAGGGCTTGATTGTGCTCGCCACGGTGAAAATAACACATGGCAAAGTAAATCAAGCGCACTCTGAGGTTTCAGAAATTGATTCAAATGAGCATATTTTTCATTTTCAGCTCCAGTTGACTAGATCTGGTTCTTTCCACAGATCGACTTAAAGCTTCAAGGTAGGGCTGGTAATTTTTCTCTGAAAGACCTTTTATCTTTATTTGTTTAAATCCACTTCACGCCCCGAAAGCCATCAATAAATAGTTGTTTGAAAAATAGAAAAAGAAAAATCTGCGGCCCTCGTAAAAGAGAAATTTAATTTGGACCGAAATAAAATGGGCGTACCTGTCCATTACTTTAGCAGCGGAGACATGCACCGCTGAAGCAGAGGCGATAGCTAGAAGTTAGCGATCCAGTCACGGAAAAGTTGTCTTCCAGCAGTTGTCAGACAGTGTGCGTTCATGTGTTTTGAGGGTGTAGCTTTGATGAGAGGTCCGATGGGAGGGGGTGAAATGGATCACTTTCAAAGTGTAGTCTGCTTCTAACTTTTCCAGTATTACCAACCCAAGCTTTAACTGCAACATACCAGTATCGCCAACATGCATGCTAACAAACGTTTCACTCAACGTTTGTTAGCATGGATTTAAATAATGGATGCTATTCAAAACAAGCACCGAGAAAGCACCCCGGCCTTCTCAGTAGCCAACGGCCCTAAAACCAAGAATGGGGGATTCATCCTCGTAAACAGGCTGGACCAAATGGTGCGCTTGATTTTTATCATCCTGCTTGACACAAAAAAAGTGAGTATAAGATTCTGAGATGATTCCACTAGTTCTATTAGAAGAGGCAAATAAAAGAGGAAACATGAAAAGAGTATTTTGATCCAGATATGCACATAATGCACCAAGGGGTTTTCAATCTGACAGAGAATCAAAAACAAATCTCCCAAAACTCCAACTCCCCTTTTCGACCACTCGGCCACAGGACAAATTACAACATGAAGAAAAAAACCTCAACTGTCACCCACAAAAAAAGAGTCAGAGAGAAATGTTGAGGACCATTTCACAGGTTTTCTTCTGTTTTCTTTACGTGTGCATGTTCATTTAAATCCCAGTAAGAGGTTGAGCACATTTCTCCTCACCTGTCTCCCCATTCCAATAAATGAGAATCATATTGAGACAATGAAATAAAACATACAGAAACTGTTAAATCAAGACAGTGAGTAAAAATATCAATACAAAAAAACAATTGGCATGATAATAAAACAGGGACAGTTAAAATAGAAGTCCATTATTTTTAAAAGGACATACCTCAAGACAACCTGGGTCACAAAGAAAAACAATTGGCATGATAAACAATAACAATAAATCACAATTATTCCAGTGTAAGTGTTTTGTTTTTGTAAGTCAGTAAGGTTTGTCCTCAGAGGTGCAGACCAAACCAATCTGCAAAAAAAATCAAACAAAGAAAAAGAGGAAAGAAATTCAAACATGCCAGATCACGATGTGTACCACCGACAATGTGGAGAGATGGGGGTGACAAATCGGAGGAAAGCAGGAACCCCCTGTAAAAGTTAACTCGGATAAAGTATTTGGGGTGTGGAGCAGGGTGACGTTAGATGGATGCCAGGGGGTCCGTCTCTGCAGCGGGAGCTCATCCTGTATGGGACGGGACAGGGGACAAGAGGGGCCTTGTGATTTCATTGGCGAGAGAGAGAGGGGCAAAGGAGCAGGCGGGAGAGGAAAGCAGAGGAGGAACGTCCTGACTCCTCACAGGACAACGGGACGGCAGTGGTTTAAGGTACGTCACAGGCTGCAGTGGTTGATCTGACGACCTCCCTCTCTCGCACCATTCACTCCCACTCCCTCTTAACCATGATCAGGGAGGGAGGGATGACGAGGGACAGGTGAGAATAAATAAAGCGGTTAACAGCTCAGGATCCAGTTCACTGTACATCGCCACCTCTGTATTTCACATATGCTCATCACAGTTAAACAGTTTATTATACAAATCTGATTCCAATTGTTGCTCCACACTCTAGTTCCCATGTTAGTTCCTCCCGCTCGTCCTCCCCCACTCTCACTTCCACACTTGTGGAATTTCTCCTTTTTCAGTCCTCGTGTTATATCTCAACCTTGAGCGCTTCCATCCGATTCCTTTCCCATGCATTTTCCAAACTTCTCTCTTCTTTTCCATTCCTCGTCGTGCCCATCACTCTCTCGGTCACTCCCCGTCCTCCCATCTTTAGTGTGATCACATTATCCGTCTTCATCAATATCCTAGAAGCCCCTCTGTTCCCTCTCAGCCCACCCATGCATTGATCTGTTCTTTCTTCCTCTTCCCTCTCAATCTATCCATCCATGCATTTGTTGGGTCACTGTTTCTTCTCACGAGTGGTGATGGTGACCAGTTGCTTGGCGGCCTTAGCGATGTCATAGGCGCATTGGATGACCTGCTGAGTGAGGAGCTGGTAGTCCACTGCAGGGGCCCCAGGCTCCGAGGGCACCGCCTTACGGCACTCCACCTGCAACCGCGAGGCACTGGAGGCCAACAGGCGGAGGGAGCAGTGGACTGCATCCAAAGCTGGACGCTGTGGAGAGGGAATCAAGACTGAACTCAAACAGTGGATGATGAAACCAGATGGAGGAAGATAAAGGGAGCAACACCCAGACAAAGAAGACACAAAGGGAAAAATAAAACATAAGTAGAGGGAACTTACTTTTGGGAAGAGTGAGGCCATCTCAGTGACAGCAGAGTGGATCTTCTCAGAACATGGAACAAAGCTGAGGAGGAGAGAGAATTATTATTTAACACATTTCCCAAAGAATTTGTGAAGTTCAATTAAATCTAACTCTGGTGCATTTCCCCATTTAGTTTGGGTCAGTGTATTACCTCTGCCAGGTTAGTTCTGTTTTTGTCTGCATTTGTTTGGTAGTTGTGCAAAACGTAATCACTGCTTAGACACTTACACAACTTTTAACAACTAATAATAATAAGTGAGGGGTGGAGCAGCAGGCTGAGGCAGGACATAATGTAGAGGAGACATTCAAAAGGAGGTGAAACTGCACGGCGTTGTGTTTGTAGTTTTAGTCAGCTGAAGTTAAACTTCTTCACATCCTGATGATAGAGGGCAACAAATTCTAATTGAAAAAAGAAGTGGTGGTGCTAGATGTTCCTGTAATTCAATGTGTTATTCAGTCAGGAGGTTCAGGTTGCACTTGTCAGCAGGGACGTAATGACAAGTATTATTGATTTTACAACAGACAAAATGGGATCCTTGTCTCTTTTTCCCCCATCTCTTGAGTGTGCGTCTGTCACCTACCTGTCGTGTTTGAACTCCTGGGCAGCCCTGAGCAGCTCCTGGATGTTCTTGGTCACCTGCTCAGTCTTCAGTATGACGTCCTCTGTGCAAGGCAGGGTGGGGTCTGGCTCCCCCGTCTCCCCGCCCCCACCTCCACCCTCCTCCTCACTGCTGCGGCCCATACTAAAAAATAGTAATAATAACACGCTTTACTTATATAGCACTTTTCTAAACAAAGTTCTTCACAAAGTGATAAAACAATAATACATTTCAATAATATTTAACAGCAAATTAAATCAATTAAAATTAACACAGAGCTTTTTTTAAAGACGTTTTAAGAAGTTCACACTACACGATATTCAGCCCAAACATAAACTGTGCAGCTACATCAGGTTTGGACACAAAAAACGGTCGGGCTTGGTTTGTTTTCTCTTGGGTTTTGACATGTTCTGAGAGAAAAACGCAGCCTGAGCCGCTCTATATTCTGTACAACAGTGACGTCCACTGAAGCATTTCTCCTCTCGTCTAGCCTGATGTGTCTTTTTGTAGCAGGATGACACAGAGCAGTTAGATCATTTAAATTTGCTGTGTCTCTTTTGTGATCAAACGTAGTTTGGAGAACAGACGTACAAGTCTGAGGTTTCTCCTCGTGAAAGATCATGTAGTGTGTGACCCACTGTCTGCAGTCAGTCTGTATGAACCCACAACGACTGCAAGACTCCAGATCACAAGACAGCAAGTCATGCAGTGTGAACTACACAATGATCTGACGACTTTGAAAGTTGTGAACTGTGAACTGGGCTTTAAGAAAAGAGCTGACAGTCATAAAAACTACAGATTAAGATAAAATAACACTCATCCTTGTGAGTACAGTGACTTGCTGTGAGTCTGACCTTAGCGAGAGGTCATATGTTTGTGTGTTGTCATAGTCACTGTCTGTGCCACTGCCGTGCTTCTCTGGTTTGGACACCTGGGGAAGAAAAACACAACACAAATGATGTTCCATCATTACATTTACACCACCAAACCTCCTGTGTTGTTCACTCCTGCAGAGTTCAAGAGATACATCCTACAACAAGTGCAAGTGTTTGTTAACAATTTAATGTGGCAGATTTAAAAAATAAAAAATGTGACGTTTTCCGTTAGTTGTGGTTGGTTCTCTGGAAAAAGCTAATTATGCAGAAATGTTTTAATGTGCAGCCTAATATCATCTGTATTCTTGACTGTTCTCACAGGATGTGAGGAATTAATGTGATTATATCAATATATTTGTCAATATTTGTCAGGGACTGATTATGAACAAATGTAACCTCAACTTCCTGAATGGGCCCGAGAGCAGGATCAAAAGAGCACAAAAATCTATCCATACAAACTGAACAAACCATGTATCTGCCCATCTCTGTAGATCCAGACAGATGTTGGCCTCCATACGACACTGGACCCCCTGTGCTACCCTTCCTTACCTGAGAAGAAAGGAGCAGACAAGGATGGAGGGAGACAGAGATGGACGGACAGTGATGAGATGAGACATTACAGATTTGCAGAAAAAAAATAGATGATGAAAAAGGAAAGAAAAAGAGAAGGGGGATGTTTTTATAAACTGTAGAAACACAATATGAAGGAGTCAGTGAGAGCAGCGCCAGATCAACTAAGCAGCTCACCCATCATCCTATAAAGACTAAACAACTCTACAGTTATCTAACACTGACATTCAAAGGTCACGCAGCTAAACTAAACAGTGTTGAAGAGCAACACATCACACAGAGCATCTAAAATAGACTACATATGCTACAAACTAATGTTGATCTCCAGTATTATAATGCATAATAAGCAGAGGTGGTGCACAGTGTGAGAATCCAACATTTCGTAGACGAAATGACAAACAATGCAATGACAGACAAAATGCTTACATCCAGAGGATGCACGGCTGCACTGCAGTGAGCAAAGGACAGACAGGTGAAGACACAGACAGACAGAAAGAAAACAAACAAACAGGTAAATCTTGGTGTAAAGACACGGTGAGCTGGACACTGACTTATTGTCCATTGACGGCTTCTGATGATCAGTGATTGCAGCTGCATAAATAGCTGCTGTAGATGAAATGCTACTCAATTCTCTGACAGATCCCTAGATGCCTCTTATATAAGACATTTTAAGCCTGGTTAAAATGTAAATGGATGTATGTCTTACACTGCAGCCTAAGCTTCAAACATGAATCCTGAGAGATCCGATCACAAGTGGTGAGCATTGAATATGCGTGTTCACAACTCCTGGCATTAAAACGACTTCTGGTCAAATTTCACTTCCCTGCACTATGTAAAAACAAATTTTGATCACATGCGTCTAGATCTCAGTATAAATTTGGGTGCGTTCACAAATATGCTCTTGTGATCAGATTACTCAGGATGGATGTTATAACAGTACCAGGTCTGAAGGGGGTTTGAGTGGATTATGGTGGGAATAGTTAATACAAGTTGAGCAAAAGTTGCTAAAACTGAAATGCAGAAAAAAGGACATTAGAAGAGATGATGAGTAAAACTATCGAACTGATTGTGTCACTGAGAGTCATGGATGAGACCAAGCAGACCAATCACTGTCTGGTCTGCCTCATCACAACATGTAGTTACATTTCTAGGGAGGTGCACCTCAGGCTACCGCGTAGATTATGACAAACAATACAAGGTTGATTCAATAAAAAAGTATAAATTGACCTTTACAAGGATATAAACAATTGTTTGGAGATGCTTAGTTCCCATCTACATCCACCTTTATGTGTGTGCATCTCCAGATTGAGCAGCTCTACAGCAGCAGGAGAGTTACTTGGAGGTCAAAGGGTGCAAAGCATGCTAGAGATCAGAGCATCACAGGGGTTGCTAGGCAACCAAACAGTCAAGACAATCCCTTTTTCTTCCGTCTTTCTCCTTCAGGTCACACTTGTGCACTTCATACTTTATGGCTTTAAAGGCAAATATTGATGTCTCATTGTCTTTAAGACGAACCAGTGCTACACGTTCACATTAAAAAGAGGATCATGCACAACTGGACCTTTCCAAGAGAAGAAGCAGGGAGAAAGAAAGCTGAAGGGGAAATAGAGAGATAAGGACTGGACTGTCATCATCAGTCTGGGAAAAAAGATTCAGTCAACCAGGGCCACCAATAGGAGGGTGGTAAGTAGAAGGGGCCGGGGGAGTTCTAACTTACGCTGGGTGTGTTGAGGGGCTGCAGGCGGGCTGCCAGGGAGTCCAAGGCTGGGGGGCCATGGACCTTAGGGCCGGGGGCCGCCCCTGGCTCGTACATTGAGAATGCCTGGCGGTCTCTCCGGTGGGGATGGGAGTGGGGAGCGACGGAGGAGGACACAGAGAGCCCCGGGCTGTCCGCTCCAGGCCCAAACCCACCCAGACCCCCTCCACTTATTCCTCCTCGCATCACACCCCCTTGCCAGTGGCCTCCTCCTCCTCCACCAGGGCCCCCTTCCCCATGGCCGACTGCCCCCCCAGCCTGCTGGCCCCCCCGCAGGGCACTGTTCTCTGTCTGCATCCGTGTGATCTACAGGAGAGGAGGAAGGGAGCAGGGAGGGATGAGAGGATGAGAGGAGGGATGAAGGGAGGGACATTGGGGAGGTTGAAGGGAGGGGAGGGGCGGTATCAACTGAATGGTCAAAACAAGCATCCACAATCGCATGTACAGTCAAGAGCTCAAACAGGGCGTCATATTTTAAGTCATTTCAAGTACTGGGAAGGGAGGGTATGTAGGATAAGACGTTTCAGTAAGTTACATGGCGAGGCATGGATTAGGTCATGGGGAAGCGGTGGAGGGAGGCTACATACCATTATGTATACATAGTTTGCTTCAGAGGGGTCAGTGAGGGGTAATGTGGATTATGATGGGCACTGATCTTCACTACCTTCTTGTTTGACACCATTATTTGTTACTTGCTTTGTGTTCCTTGAACACATGCATGTTTGCCTCAACTCTCTCAACACAAAATTCTCTGACAAGAAAAACAAAAATACATGGATGAATCATGGGTCACAGAAGCTAACACTTGCAGCTACCAATGAATACAATAAGCTAATGATGATGACTCACAACCCAACATGAAGCGGCGATGACTGCGCCAACTCAACTGAACTAAAAAATGACAACTAAAATGAGAACAGGCATTTTGTAGCAGACTTGCTCCACATGAGACTGACTGCTGCTTTGGTTTCAAGATAACACTGAGAAGCTGTCACCAAATGTTTCTTCCACTGACAACACTGTTGGAAATTGACACCCTGTCAGAAGAAATACACCAGCTTGAAGAGATATTCATATATTCACTTGTTTCTCCGTCACGCTGCCCTCGTTCTGTTTGAGTCACTTGTTCATTCTCCCTTTGCCAACCTGTCTTTGTTTGTCACTTTGACTTGTGTATCTTCAGTGCAGCCCTATAATCTAGGTACCTTCTCTAGTCCAAGCTTTCTCAGAAACAATTCATGCCAACCTGTCATGTCATGTCATCTCTCTTCCTTGGAGAAAGATTTTTTATGTAAGTCATCCCCAGAGTCTCTCCTGCTACGAATTTTTTAACATTGGTTGAAGCTTCGGACAAATTCACCCTCTGACTTTTTTTTTTTGCCCGATTAATCCCTATCCATCCTTTCATCCACTCTCCGTGCTCCCTACCTCCTTTTGGAGCCGCCGCAGCTCCTCACTCAGGTTGTTGTTGACTTTCATCAGCTGCTGCACCTTGGCTTCTGAGGAGGCCAGGGCCTTCTTCACCTCAAGATACTCCTGCAGGGTGATAGGACCGTCTGACAAGTCTGATGAGTCCATACTCTGGATGGATGGGACACACAGACAAAGTGAGGTACAAAGTGAGGAAACTGAGTTATATCGAGTTATTTCAGGATAAATATGAAATATCTTCAGGATTCATTCCACTCAAACGCTACATTCAATCTTTGAAGTTCTTATACTGGGGTAATAAGAGGATGATGTACATTATGAATCAATGCTCTTTTGGTTAGTTAAAAACAGAGCTTAATACTGTGTGAGAGGAAGGGGGTGGCCTGCAGCAGAGTATTACAGCTGATCACACATGTAAAGACAGTAGCGCCTTAGTTCTACTCTCACTACACTATCCGCCCTCACTTCCTGTGACCCTGGAGCACAGCACACACAGACTCAGTCCTATACCACTCCCTAAAACGGAACCACTAAAACATCTCTCATATACTATTCTTCAGAGATCTTTGTTTAAATTCCATCCGCCTCCCACCCAAACCATGTCTCTTTTACTCTCATGCCCTCACTTAATACGTATATACAATGACATTTAATGCCAACCCCATTAGAAATAATGAATGCATATATTTCAAGTGCGGAGATGGGAGTGGAGCCTTTGTCAGTATTTTGAACTCTGAGCTAAATGAGTGCAAAGGAAAAGGAGATAGTTACTGGTTGAGTTGTTGTTTATATTGTTTCTACCACTCCTGCACCATTTCTCCTCTATTTCTCTGTCCCCCCTTCTCACACACACACTCTCTCTCTCTCTCTCTCTCTGTATGAACAATGCCTCTCTGACAGCGACCCAGAATAGCTGATGATGTCACTCAGGAGCTATGTGGCAGCCTTGACTGTGGCCACTCCCCGCAAAGCATGCTGGGACAAGCAGTTTTAAATAGGAAAACAAGTAAAGGCGTTGCTTGCTATATACTAAACACTATGTGGAAGGAGCTGAACTAAATTGGTGAGTAAAAGTGATTGTGTGTCAGCATTTGTAGAGTTGTGTATAAGTAGGTTTTTATTATGCACTTTATTAAAGCTACAGTTGACGTAGTAGGCAAGAACTGTACCTTTGCTCGGTTGCTGCGTTGTGTGTTGTTGTTGTTCTGGGTGGTCAGCTCACTGTCTGTGTCTTCATCAGATGCTACGCTGTCATAGTCATGCTGGTCATCATCAATACCCAGGTCCAGTGGGTCTGGCAAAGAAAAGGTTCTCATTTATTTCAATACATAAAATATCATTCCCTCGCTTCCTTTCAATCTCTCTCTCTGGGACTGTACACACAGCTCACACTGCTTACTAATAACAATGAATCCCATTTCTCTTCTTTATTAAATTGCTGGACTGGTCCGTTCTTCCTGTTGCAGCTATAATCAAGCATCTAACATTTTTAATATGCTCTACAGTGCTCCAATCCTGTACCGAAATGCAAAACTGACCTGTATGTATCCATATTTGTAACTGGATTAAGGTACATCTCCTTTTTTGCTGTTCTTAAAAAAGGTTATTAATTCCCCACAGTCCTCAAATTCAAGGTGACTGTCCTTTCCTCCCAGTGTCTCACCAGAAGGGCTGCTGAGACCTTTTCCCTGCTGTCTCCTTTTCGCGTCGCTCAGGATATCGATGATGAGCGTGGCAAACTCCCGAGCATTGAACCGGGCCAGCTTCTGACGGCCCTGAGAGAAGAATGAGTCAGGACTTAGGACGTGGATTATTATGTAAACACATGCACACGTTGGCATGAGGATCTGAAGTGAGGTTAGTTTTTTCTAGTTCTGTCTAGAGTTGTGCCGTATGCAAAAACAATCCAGCCCACAGTCAGTGCTTCACCGCCTGTGTGACTGCTGTGGTCAACTACCATGTGGAAAAACACAGTCATACTGAGCAGTGGTCACACACACACACACACACACACACACACACACACACACACAC